GAAGTCGTTGCTTGGGGGTTAAGCCGCCTCTGCACTCTACTAGGTAGTTCCACATTTGACTCCAAGAACCATAACAACCTCAAAAATGAAAAAAGAAATGGCAAGTTAGCTGGTCCTACATCATAATTTCCTATTTTCTCACTATCAGATAATCTTACTTGTGGCACACTCTTGAGAGAATGCTTTTCCTTTTAACTTTTTTCCATTCGTGGAGCTCTATCATCAAATTTTTCCTTAAATCTTACATATCAGATACGTAAACCCCATTTCTACTACGTTTACCGCTCTTTTATTGCATCGTAATCATGGAGATTTACATTTACGAATCACCATGATGGGGTCCAGCCCCAAAAGTAAAAGAAACAGAAAAAGAAAATAAAAAGGATCAGACACTAAAACTTATTTTGGCCAAATCTTGTTTTTGGGGTGACAACTTGCCTCTATAGAGCAAGTTGGCAGAAGCTATTTGCAATTGCAAATTGTAGGTAAATCAATTCTTATTGGTTGAAGTTGGCATCAGACACTCCTATAAATAGGAGCCTTTAGTTTCTCATTCGAACATACAGAAGAAGAAATCTCATAGAAAGTGTGAGATACGAAATAGTCCATGGAGAAAAAGTAGAGAGTGTGAGTGGTATTGTAGTGAGGTGGGAATCTCAATAGAAGATTATTTCTTTGAGTGTATAGTGGTTCCTTGAGTATTTATTCGGGACTACGGAGTGTAAAGTTCCTCATTATAGTGGATTACTTTGCTCCTCTCATGCCCGTAATTTTTTACCCTTATTCAGAAGAGTTTTTTCACGTTAAAATCTTTGTGTTTTTGTTGTTCTTTTAATTCTTGTTGATTATCGTATTTCAGTATTATATTATTATTCCGCTGTTATTACCGTGAATATTATACATGTGGGGGGTTTATTCCCAACAACTGGTATCCGAGCACAGGTTCTGCTCGCTCACAAAAATACTCTAATGAACTTCAAGTTCTTCAATTTACTTCCAATGTGCCGAAACGTACTTAAACTACTCGGAATGACACCCAATTTTGCGTGCAAGTCTTAAATGACATTACTAAACTACTCCAGGTCTCGAAATTCCTTTTGGACTTCGATATCACCAAAACCCGCTCCAAACCAAATTTAAAGAACTTCTAAAATCTTCAAGAACTAACTTTCACTATTAGGTGCCGAAACGCTCCCGAGTCATCCAAAACCCGATCCGAACATATGCCCAAGTCCGAAATTATCATACGAACCTATTGGAACCGTCAAATCCCGATTCCGAGGTCGTTTACTCAAAATGTTGACAGAAGTCTAACTTGGCCTTTTAAGCCAACCTTAAGGAACCAAGTGTTCCGATTTCAACCGAACTCTTCTAAATCCCGAACTAACTGTTAGATTTGATTTTAATGATGCAAATAATATATCTATGCAGGAACTCATGGATAGCAATTCAAAGATTAAAGGAATCAATTAAAGAAGATCATGGAATCAAGGAGTAACTACAAGATGGAAGCAATCAATCAGGGAACTTAAAGAAAGCAATCCGAGATTAGCAAAGTTCACGAAATCAATGGACAGCTACGAGATGGAAGGAATCAAGAAAAGCAATCCGGGATTAGAGCAATCAATCAAAGCCAAGACGGAATCAATCAAGCATGAACTTAAGGAATCAAACAAGTCGAGCATATCCAAATCCGGAAGGTGCAAGATCTCGCGAAGCATATATGGAGCATCAATCAAGGATCTCGTAATTATAGTTGTTGCTGTATGACCTTATTCTTGGAAAGAATCAATTTTTCTCCAAGGATCAAATCTCTTGGGTTGGCAAATCTCTCCAAAAACCAAGTCTCTCTCAAAGTATTTATACCTGTATCTGTACCCTAGAACATATACTTTGATCGAACCAAACACCCTCTCTTTATTCTACTACAAACAAACATTGTAGCTCTATTAAGATCTGCTGTGTAACAAGTTAGAGAAGAAAGAGAGAACAACACTGGTGAGGCATTGTATCAAAAGAGACGAGTGATATAGGAACTAAGCTATGGATGTAGATCACACCATTCTCTGTGTACTCGAAGAAACTCATTCACTGAAAAGAACTCCCTTGCAACCCAAGGGGACTGGACTAGGATTCACATTGAATCCGAACCAGTATAAAAATTCTGGTGTCTTTAATTCCTGCATTTAATTTCAGCATCTTAAATTCTGTTGTTACCACAGTCAAGTTATTACATCTAGTCTACTAATTGAAAAACTAGTCAACTAATAGCAATTAAGTTTAATAATAAATAATTCACCCCCTCCCCCCTCTTGTACTTTCATTAACCTTCCCCGCAAGTCATAAAACAAAAGCATGCACGGGAAGTCTTATTAAGCAAAACGACCGGTCAGGTCGTTACAGTAATTATGCGCACAATACATACCTGAGTTTTCTTTTCTCAAATAAATATAAGATCACGATCGAATCTCCAAATAATATATTGAATCTTAACCATTTCACATTAACTAGTCTTAGGGTACGCGCTTTGCGCGTGTGCCCTAAGTGAATATACGATCTTAAAAAAAATTAAGTAATTATTATTAAATAATGTGTTTAAGTTATTGAACAAAAGTTAAAAGAAAATATAAGTTCCTAAAATTGATAAATATTGATCCAAGTTAGCTAGTTCAATAAATAAAATACGGCCCTGTAAAAGTCCTTATATGCTTTATTGTGATTTTTGATGACTTATGTAGGAACGTAAGATGAAAAGTATTGTTATTTTTGTTACCTAAAAGTATACTGAAAACAAGTAACAAATGATACTGTGATATAGCTAATTTTGCTCTATTTTCTAATTTCTTTTGTCGCTAGTGCTCTTCTTGTGGAAATAAATTTATGTAACTTAGGAGTTTTATCAACATAAAAAATAATTTTACTTACATGAAGATTTTGAAAAAGAATTGAATTAGATTCTTTTTCTATTTAGTTAATTCAAAGTTATTTTTTCCGCATTGGGACTTTGTGTTGTTAAAATAACTTAGAAAATCTAGGTAATTTTTAACTCCTTTCCTATTCGAACAATAATTTATATTAATTAATTTTTGAATAATATTTTAAAATTAGATTCAATAATTAAAAAAATATTTAATTAAATACAAATCACTTACTTTTAATAGTTACAATCTATAAAAGGTTCCGCTTATAAGGATAAGTTCCTTATTAAGAAGAATGAATATCTAAACATATTTTATATGAAAATTGCCGTGAGAAACTATAAGGAAACAAGAAAGTCTTACATACGTGTTTCATACACAAAAGGATTTAAATACTTACCTCACATAATGCATTTAATTAAATTTACATACTGGATTTATAAGTTGTTTCTTGTGGCCCTACGTTCGCTTATATAAATGATTCTCTTGAACATAAATGAATTATAAATTTGTCTTGATTTGTGTAATTTTGCAGAAAGCTTGAGGTAGATGCGTTGATTCACTGAGGGGTTAGGGATGGTATTTCGTGTTTGTTATTTAATTATGGAATATTTATAGATTTTGTAGGGATTTAAATCCCTAAATATTAGGGGTTACTACCCAATTCAAATAAGGAAAGATTTAATTACCACAATTTTTGCTAAAATCGTAAATATTAGGAAAAGACAAAATTTTAATTGATATTAAAATCCTAAATTTTGGAAAATAATTAAATGACAAGTTTGTCCAATATAAAATCTATTTTTAAGGGGTAAAAAAGACGAACGATATTTCGTAAAGGGCCTTCGTGCTTTTAATATAGTATATATATATACTAGATAAAATTGTATCGATATTCTGAAGAGTAACATATAAAGTATTAAAATTATATTAATTAATTTTAAAATCTTAAATATTAGGACTTCCTATATTGTTCAAATAAGGAAAGGATTGAAAGAATATGTAGGAAGATTTACTTAAAACTAACTTAAATTGTTTATACATTACAGCACAATTTATTACTATTAATATCAATATATAAATTAGAGTATCTTATATACGTTTTACTTATCCAATAATGTAATTGTACTTTTGATTTAATAAGGGTATATATTATAACATGTAAAAAAACTTAAAGCATATTGTAATATTTATTATTACTATAAACTGTTATTATTTTGAAAATATTGGCATGCCGTGTCGTTTGTAAACTTACTTAAAGATATTTTCTTACTAATGTGCCTATAAGTTTCGTTTAGAATGTATAATCAACTTCAATTTTTAAAAACATAAAACGTATCTAGTATTAGTAAATATCTAATGTATGTGTAGAAAAGATGTTATATTAATTTACACAAATAAAATAAGAAACAAATTTATGTAACCTAAATATTAGGAGTTTATTCAAAGTTCAAATAAGGAAATTTAATAATAAAAAATTTAGTTGATTTTGAAGTCCTAAATATTAGGAAATTAACTTAAATTACAGTATTTTCCAATATAAAATCTATTTTGAAGGGTAAAAAGGGCGAACGACATTTCGCTAAGGGTCTTCGTGTTATATATATATATATATATATATATATATATATATATATATATATAGGATATTGTTTTTACTCTTCGTTTCTATTTTGTTTGACATATTCTTGTAAGCGTCTAGCAAATATTTCCTTAACTCAATTATGTTGGTCATTTTGATTTATATTATCATGTTTTATTAATACATTGAATATTTATTTTTATTTTATAAATATCTAAAAAATATTTTTTACATTTCATTAGGAAGCCCGACTCTGAAAAAAAAATATCAAAAAAATAATAAACTAGAGAAATAGAACAATTCATACCTTCATGCTTTCTACAAATTAAAACCCTAAAAAAATGTTAGCCATAGAGGTGAATTTGGTAGAATTTACTATTTATGTGGTATTATGCACGTGCAGATCACGTGATAATAATATTAGTAGGAGATGTGTTGGCGCCAACGAAAGATGAAGTTGGTTATTTTTACGAAATTGGAATCCGAAACCAACTCTTTGTCTTCCATTATATTTCTTCTCTATTATCATTTCCTCCAAAACCCTAATCCTTCCCCTTATTGAGAATTGTATGAATCTTGAAAAATAAAAGAAATATTTGAAGGAGGATCAAGAAAGAAATTAATAGAATCCGGGATTCACTTATTATGCAAATTTGAAGCTACAAACTGTTGTTTTTATTCAGGTACTTAATTATCATATCAAGATTTTCCTCTTCTTGCTTGTGGTCGTTGTGGTTTGGTTTAATGCTTTCATTTCCTTTGTGCTTTTCTGTAAACGTTATGTGTTATTTTGGTAACTGTCGTGTTCGGGCCAGCTTGCACGCACCTTAATTAATTTCGTGAGTACCTAGTACTCGTCCCGTCAGCACAGGTAACTCTGTCCACCAACGCTTGGACAGATGAAAAGAAATCATCTAATATTTTGCCTATGCTGGATTTCACAAACATTATGTGTTAATGTTGACAATTGTTTTTTTTCTTTGGTTTTCTTTTTCCCCTTTAGGGTATTTCAATTTGAGGGGCTTTTTTCCTTGAGCTGCTTCTTGAGAGGTGGCTCCATCTACAGGAAGACATTGTCAATACAAGGATGCTATATACATAAGGTAATATTTCTTGTGTAATAGATTTACCATTTAGCTGCCTATTTTCGTTCCTTAAGTGACTTCTGTTTATTTGAAAACTCAAATTTTTATGCAAATATGGAAATTTGGTTAAGCAGGTAAAATATGATTATGAGAGGTTCTATCTTCCTTTTTTTTTCTTTCTTTTTTATGCAAAGGAAAATGTTATTGTATATTAACACTTGGCACAAAAGGGGAATTTATAGGGTGCATAACTCCTATTAAGTCCTTGATATAATATTCTAGTACAAATGGTATGTCTGTGTGTGTGGGTGGGGTGGGTGGGTGGGTGTTATAGCATCAAGCTGAATTATCTGTTTTCCCTTCATATTTGATAGTTTTGGCAACCTTTTTGCTTGTTTTATGTTGGTAATTTTTACTTTTGTTCTATACATGACTATGTGGAGAAATCAGGAACTGTAGGATGGTGATTATGGTAGTTTCTGAATTGAAAACATATTAACACCATTTAATATTTTAATCTATTTAAAGCATTTTTTTTGTGGATGAAATTGCAATCCCACTTAACTGAGTAAATATGCGATCTTTGTTCTCCTTGTGCATTCTATTATGAGAATTACTTCACCTTTCTGCTTTTAAAAGCCAGATAGCAGCCGAACCTGGTAAATGGTGGCCATCTTCTCCACCCCAAGTGGATTGAGGTGCGAGAATTAGGATTTAGACGTATATCCTTATGTGATTTCCTGCATGAAATGGTGCTTGTTATGAATGTTACATTGTCCCTATAATACCCCACTCCTCAATAGCCCATCTTTATGTGTACCCCGGCCTGTTCTATTGCATTAAATGGAATCGCTTTGTGCAGCCTAGTAAATGGTATTCTGAAGGTGATGTTTAATTGTATTTCAGTGATGGACTCTTAAGTATGTAAGTGGAGGCAGTACCATCCTAGAACATATGCACCAGTAAGTGAAAATAAAGTTGAGGCCCTTGCACCACCGACTTTACTCATGGATTCTGAGCAAGAGAGTGAAGGAAGAAGAGATTCAGATGCTACTTTAGATGAAAGTGAAATAGGGTCATCTAAAAGTTCAGAATATTCTCAATCCATCTCGTCTTCGTCATCAGGCTCTTCTTCAGATGATTACATCCAAGTGGATCCAAAAATAGTATTCAACTCTGTCCCATCGGGTGTAGAATCTTCTAAATCTCACTCCGATGCGAAACTTATATCTCAAAGTGATACGTGCCATCAATTGGAAGAATCCTCGAAAACTTCTACAAGTTCCACCTCACAGGTTTCAGATGTCACTCATGAATCTGCATTCCCGACCATGTCACCTACACAATCTCCTTCTATACAGGTGATGGAAAGGCAGGCAGTTTTTGATCCCAATAGAATTCCCTCTTCCGTTTTTGGGAGTAAGGATTCGTCCTCTAAGGAATGGAGCAGTGCTTCTAACGAATCATTGTTCAGTATCCACACTGCTGGAAATGGTAGTCCTGCAAGGGATGATATTGTAATGACTGATGGAGATTTCAAACGGTCAAAGAAACGAGACAACTCATGTGCAGCATTAGATAAATATGAAGAAATTAATAAGTCTGGCAAGCCAACTAGGTTTAGGCAGCCCTTGCCAGCTGCAAAAGGAAGAGAATGTAAGGAAAAGATACATGAGAAAGGAAGGAATGTAAATGCTGTAAACAACCTGTTACCAGCAGGTTCAGATGAACCAACAAAGAGAGTTGTCCGTTTTAGAGAGGAAATAAAAGTAGGAGACATCAGAAATCATTCTGCTGCCCTTGGCCTCTCTGATGGAAATAAAGGCTTTAGGGACTCCTGCACTGCCGTTTGCCATTCTGATGGGAATGGCACGTCTTCTGTCTTTCCAATGTGAGTAACAATTCTTCTTTTTTGGGTTTCTGTACAGATAAGAATTTTTATCGCTAATTAATTGTTTAATGCATGCATTTAGTTATTGGATTTCCACGAGTTAAACAAAGAGACAACCTGCTTATTTGTTCATTAATTAAGCGCTTTTCATTAATGTGTGAATATATAGATAGAGACCATCTATATTGTGAAAGTGTAAGAGTTCTTTCTGTCTTATCTCTAACTTACATGCTCATACATGGGCCATTAAAGACGATTTGAAAGTGTAAACCAAAAACTAAACCTCATAAACACCTCTACTAACATAAAGTTGAAATATGCACTTGTGGTACTTTTAATACTATAACTTATGCACAGAGGCAACATCGCTAATTGTATTTGGTAGCAGATGACAGAACAAGGATACAGACAAAAGGTCCTGGATCATTTAAGATTGTCTGGAAAGATTTGACAATAAGAATGCATCAGACCATATTTGTAAATGGATATCCGAGTTAAAGATTGCTAAATATTAATGATTACAAGCAAAACCTGATGACAAACTTGGCACGAGAAGAAGCTTAAAGTGCATTATTAAATATGGACAATTAACTTAGCTTGGAAAGTATTATGCAATTTCCTATTAGAGAATCACTTTGCTTAACAAGCAAAATATCCATACTCTTCTGTACTGCAAATCATCTCTCTTTAGTTTATTTACATGCTTATATTTATTTTTGCTTTTCTATTTTTATTTTATGGTATAAGAGACCTCAACCAAATAACGTAGTTTTACTCAAAATAAGGAAACATAGGCGATCAGGTTTTGATGCGACCGGTTTTGGTCTAAATGAGTTGGCGATTGTAGGTTTCTTTGTTCACCTACTCTTCAATGTCTCATGGGATAGTATTTCAGTCCTCTTTGGGTACTATTTGAGTCTATGGGCATGTAAATGAAAGTTCCTACTTCCCCAATATTGTGTTTTTGGCTGATATGGAAAGCACTCTCTCTATGCAGAAAAAAGAAGTCTTCTTGGTGGTCATGCTGTTGTTCTTGTAGTAGCGGTTCTTGCTGCTCAAGTTGGCCAAGCTGCTCGTTGAAGTGCTCAGGTTGCTCTTGTAAGTGGTTAAGCTGCTCAGGTTGCTCTTGTAAGTGGCTAAGCTGCTCAGGTTTCTCCTTTAAGTGGCTAAGCTGCTCGAGTTTCTCTTGTAAGTGGCTAAGTTGCTCAGGTTGCTCTTGTAAGTGGCCAAGCTGCTCAGGTTGCTCTTGTAAGTGGCCAAGCTGCTCAGGTTGTTCTTGTAAGTGGCCAAGCTGCTCAGGTTGCTCTTGTAAGTGGCCAAGCTGCGCAGGTTGCTCTTGTAAGTGGCCAAGCATGCCTGTCGGCTGCTGCAAATGGCCATGCAGCCATGGTGGTTGCTGCAAATGGCCGAGCTGCCAATGTAAGTGTTTTACCTCGCTACGCTGCTGCTCCTAGTGTCCAACTTCTCGTAGCAACTGCAAGTGCCTGACATGGCAAAGCTCTGTGCGCAACTTTTTTGCACTGTAGCTGGGCGTTCTGCTTTGTGGGACTATAAATTATTTGATCTTGCCAGGTATGCCTCTCTCTCTCTCTCTCTCTCTCTCTCTCTCTCTCTCTCTCACTCACTCAATTATATGATAAATTGGCCTACCTTTATTGAAAATTTCTACTTATTGTGACTTTTCTACTTCTTGTTGTTTCATGATATTGAACGTCATATGTAATACATTCTAAAGAATCTTTTAGTTATGGTCATTGTAGAGACTTGATAGAGTAATTCTTTTCATCTATGCAGTTTGACGGAAGAGGAACGGTGTATGTGAAAAGGATAGCCTGAGCACCAGCATACCCATTGAGCTCTGCAGTGGCTTCTAAGGAGCATTCCAAAAGCTATTGTACCTGCCTCGTGTTCGTGTGGTTCATGCCCTTCTTGATTCCTTCCATCTCTACTCTAGCTGTTGCTTAGGACGAGAAGGCCCAATTCCATTTCGGCCCTCCTCCTACTTCTGCCTCGTTCATTAAAAATGCTTGCCACCCACATGCATAGGTTCCGTAGAATCAAGAGAATTTAGAAGTTTTAAGTATGCATAATGTTATCAGCAGCAACAAGCTTGGCAAAATTGTGGAGATTCATAGTAGCTAATCTATTCAAGCATTGAACAATGTCCAATAACTTGAATTCTTTTAGTGTATATAAGTAGGCAGTGGGGCTTAGATATATTTGTTGCCTCACATTACTTAGTCCATCATTGCGCAACCATTTCTTTCCTTTTTCAAGCTGGGAGAAGAAAAGGTGGGAAGAGAGAATATGGAGGTGGTCAAGTGAACACCCTTCATTGGAGAATTATATTGTGTATATAGAAAATTATACTTCATTTATAGGTTAAAACTATTTTTTACACATGCATATTAAAGCTTGAATACCCTTAGCGAAATTTTTGGCTTCGTCTCTGGTTAGTACGTCTTTGGATATTATTTAGGGCAAAATTGGTATGAAGTTATTCAAGTAAAGTTTTTTTCTTCATACTCTCATATTTCAATTCGTGGACCTGAAAAGGGGTTCACCATGCATGGAGATAGTTCTTCTTAATGTCCATATAGCTCCTACCAATATGAGCAATTCTTTCAAGGGTGTTACATTAGTGTTTTGCTATATGGATCTAAGGGTGTGTTTTGTATGGAGAAAATATTTTTCAACCTTTTTTATGTTTGGTCGGCCAAAATATTTTGAAAAATAAATTCCTTAAAATTAGGATAACGATTAACCTAATGAAAGTGGGGGAAAGAAATTCCATATGTGGCATTCCACGCCCCACCTTCACGCCCACACCCTCAACCCCACACACCCTCATCCCCGACGTCAGTCTCATGCCACCTTGCCATCCACGTGGCCATGACCATGACCCCACCCACCCTATCCGCCCACCTCTCACCATACATACATCAAGTTTATTTTAGTAGGAAAAGAAGATTGAAGAAAAAAGTTTATTTTAGAGCCTGTTTGGATTAGCTGATTTGAAGTAGCTGATAAGCATTAGCTGCTGAAAAGCACTTTTAAGTGCTGAAACTGTTTTAATAAATAAGCAGTTACGTGTTTGGGTACAAGTGGTGAAATTGATATTAAGTTGTTGCAGTATTTGATAAAAAAAAAGTGCTGATAAGCTCTTTTTCTGTTAAAATGACTTAAATAACCTTAGAACTGTTTACACTTATAAGGGTGATCTTCAAAATTTTAGATTTCAGATCGATTCAAATACAAAATATTCTATTTGTTATTTTATTTTAAATAAAACTGTGCTTAGATAAGATAATTTTTATGATAAATATAATTTATTTTATGACAAGCATATAATCATAAGTTATAATAATTAATAAATTGACAAAAGTTTCTCAGTAAAAAATAAACCTAAATAGGACAAATTATTTGAAGAGAAACAAACATTGTCTTCATCACCACAACACTTAGAAAGCAATACACCAAAAATTTGATATGTCCTCATTTATTACATACAGTTCAAAGATATAAATATTAATACACAATCACATATAAATATGCAAAGGAATAGAGATTTTGCTTATTTTCTTAAATAGTCAACGAGGATTGCAGACTTGAAGAGGTGGGGAAGGGGGGTGGGGTGAGGAGAGGGGGTTTAGGTTGAATACTTGAGCCAGGGAGTATGGATGTAGGAGTTTTGTTCTAAAAAGGAATATGTTAAGGATAAAATAGTAAAAAATTTGGTCAAACTTAAAGTGCTTATAAGCTAAAAATTCATAAGCTGGGGGTGACCAGCTTATGGCTTATTTTCTGACTTATAAGCACTTGGCTTATAAGCACTTTGAACTTTACCAAACGTGTAGATAAGCCGAAAAGTGCTTATAAGCTAATTTGACCAGCTTATAAGCTTAGCCAAACACCCTCTTAGTAGCTAGTGTATTTGAAGGCTTAGCATGCTAGTTTCCTACTTAGGTAATTTAGGGCCGTGCACGGATCGGATCGGATTGGATTTAGCACATTTCGGATTCGGATTCTATAAAATGCAATCCGAATCCGATCAGAATTATATCCGATCGGATCGGATTTTAAAGTTTGGATCGGATAAGATTTCTGATTGTATTATTATGCCTCAAAGTTGCGAACTAATATGTATATTTTCTTTGTAAAAGAGGCAATACATTAAGAAAAATTCATATTTATGCAATTATGAGAGTACTATGGTGTCAATAAAGCTAGCAATTGTAAAGGTAATAACTTGGAGAAAGATGTAAAGGAAGTACTGACTATCCGAAATTAAAGTGTAGTATTTATACATTGCCTAATAATTTCGTATTTCGGATCGGATCGGATTAAAATATACCAATCCGAATCCGAAATCCAAAATTTTTATAAACACAATCGAAAATTCGATCCAATCCGAAATTGAATTGATCGGTTCGGATTTCGGATATCCGATCCGAATGAACAGCCCTATTAGGTAGGTATAGTGTGAAACACTTTCTCCGTCCAACTTTTAAAATTCTGTATCCATTAAACACCGTTGTAAAAATGACATAAGAAAAGTGTTGTGTTTTTCACTACTACTGCAATTAATCGTGAGGAGTGGATAACAATGGGATAAGTTTTTATCTTTGTCACATTAAGTAAAAAGTATCAAAACCACATGATCTAGTTATACTCATATCTCTCTCTCTATGATATAACACGAATTTATTTTGGCAATATTTTCCTCCTAATCATAAACTCTATGTCAATTAAACACCGTCATGTGAAATGACACAAGAAAAGTATTTTGATTTTACGTTAAATTAAGTGTTTTTTTTTGTCAAATTGAGTAAAGAACATTCAATCACATTATTCCATTATAGTTTTGAAATACTCATGTCTATCTTTCTATGATATGACAAGAATTTATTTTGGCATCATTTTCCTCCCCATCTTAAACTCTACATCAATTAAATACCGTCATATGAAATGATACAAAAAATATATTTTGGTTCTTCCAGTAGTAAAATAGAACGAATGAATATTAACATTGAAATAAGTTTTTATCTTATATCAGATTAAGTAGCAAATATTAAACCACAAATTTAGTTATTGCTTTAAAATACTCCTAACTATTTTTATGAAAATATGTTGAAAAATTATTTTGGCAACATTTTCCTTCGTCCAATCTTAAAATCTACGGACTAAACATCGTCTTTCCTTGTGCTGCAATAAAACACAAGGACTGTCTAGCACTGAAATAAGTTTTTATCTAGTCGGATTAAGTAATATATATTAAATTACATGATTTAGTTATAATTTTGAAATATCTATACCACATGATTTAGTTAAAGTTTTGAAATATTATCTCCCCAGTGAAATGACAAGGATTCATTTTGACAACGAATTAGTCATAATCTTAAACTCTATGTCAATTATACACCATCATAAAATGACAGAGACTAATATTTTGTTTTTTTCCCACTCGTGCTGCAATAAAACGTGAGGAGTGGTTAGCATTTAATTAAGTTTTCCTCTTTGCCAGATTAAGTTACAAATATTAACCACACAATCCAGTTACAGTTTTGAACTAGATTGCGAGAATTTATTATGACAACATCTCTTAATCTTTTTTTTAAAGGTGTTAGGTTGGCAATTTCATCCCATTTTATAAAAATCGTTATTTTTTTTTTAATGAGCAGATAACTATCACACTAATAATTCTGACCATTTTTATCTCACAAAGTTTTTAATTATAATTTTTATCTCAATTAATTACTACTACTAGTTAGTTTCTCAGTAGCATATTTAGAGAATATTCCTTTATTGCAATAAATTCATTTTTCCTAAAAATTTTGATTCTAAAACAGCAAAGCCTATTTTCTCCCTTTTTCTGTAATTATTTTTTTCGAAAAAATATAGTTTGTAAGTGGAGATACTATACTCAAAAGAATGCAATCATTGGTCGTATCAACTGTTATTCCACGTTGGACTTATACACTTTGCCACGTGGCGAGCCGCTCAAATAATTTCGAATTTGTTTCTCCTTTTTCTTTTTTCTGTGTGTGAACTTGATATTTTTTTTAAAAAAAAATTCAAGAGAGCGAAAGTGGGACCTACAGAGCCTTCTAAGTCCACCTGGGGACCCACTGAAGATCCTACTCTAGTATAAATAACACATGTTGTTTGAATAACTAATATGTTCAATAAAACAAGCTCACTGTAGCAACTCTCTTGAGAAATTACTCACAGAATTCTGTAGTAGAAGAAGACTACTTCTTAGTCTTTCTTCTTCTATTTTCTTAGTTGCATAAACAAACAATCTCTTTTTTTCTTTTTTTGGTTTGTTTTTGAACTGAAAAAAGATAATTTTCTTCATTTCTTTTGCTTTCATCGTTCATCCTTCTGCCATTTTTCAAATTCAAGAATATTTTTTTTTTTGCTTTTGATAAAGCACCAACAATTTGTTCTTTGAATCTGAATTTGAAAACTGACTTCCTTTTTGGCTTCTGGGGTTGTGTTCTTGGCAATGAAAAGTGACAAAATGCAGTTGTTGGACAAAAAGGAAAAATATGGGATTCTGTTTTCAAGAACACTGAATTTGTTCTTGATGACAGCATTTGTTTTCTCTTGTTTTTCCTTTTCAGCTTCTGAAGAGGTGGTTTATGAGAAAATGGCTTTGTTGGAGTTGAAGAAATCACTTGGTGATTCCTCTGGCATTTTATCCAGCTGGAAAACAGACAATTCTAGCTACTGTTCTTGGTATGGAGTGTCATGCAACTCAAATTCCAGGGTTTCAGAATTGAGAATCAGAGGTAATAATACTAATGCTGCCTCTTGTACTAGTAATCCTGAGTTAGCATTGCATGGCTTTGGCATTAGAAGAAACAGTTGCTTTCATATGAATGCTAAACTTGTTGGGAATTTGTCTTCTGTTATTGGATACCTCAAAGATCTTAGGGTTCTGTCTCTTCCATTCCATGATCTTACTGGTGAAATTCCTGTTCAGATATGGGGGTTAGATAATCTTGAAGAATTTGATGTAGAAGGGAATTTCATTCAGGGAAATTTTTCGAGCTATAATTTTTCTGGCTTGAAAAAACTAAGAGTTCTTAACCTGGGGTTTAACAGAATTGTAGGGGAGTTTCCAACTTCTCTAGCAAAATGTAGGTTTTTGAGTGTATTGAATTTAGCGGGAAACAGAATAAATGATGTCATTCCAGGGTTTATAGGTGGTTTCGAAAAGTTAAGGGTGATTAATTTGTCGTTTAATCGATTAATTGGGCATGTTCCGCTTAACATAGGGATTAAATGCAAGAATCTTGAACATTTAGATTTGTCATTTAATTTCCTACAAGGGGAGATTCCGCGTGTATTGGGGAAATGTAGTCACTTAAGGACACTTTTGTTGACTTCAAATGCATTTTCTGGTGCTATCCCTTCTGAGCTAGGTAGGCTTCAAAGGCTTGAAGTTCTGGATGTTTCGCGAAACAGTCTTTACGGTCCTATTCCACCTCAGCTTGGAAATTGCCTTAATTTGTCGATTCTCGTTCTCTCAAGTCTCTTCAATCTTCATAGGGAGCTGGCATTTGATGATGTTTTAGGTGAGCTAAACTTCTTTGAGGGCTCCATTCCTTCAGATATTACTATGCTGCCAAAATTGGAAGTATTGTGGGCTCCAGGAGCAAATCTCAGAGGACAATTTCCCAATGATTGGGGTTATTGTGACAGCCTAAAGGTGGTGAATTTAGCTCATAACTTTTTCATGGGCAAAATTTCTGGTTCATTTCATGGATGCCATGGTCTGTTGTTTCTTAACATTAGCTCAAACAGGCTCTCTGGAAATCTGGATAAAAAGCTTCCTGTTCCTTGTATGACTCTTTTCGATATCAGTAAGAACCACATGTCAGGCCTAATTCCCCAGTATAACACAAGTGTTTGTCCCCGTGATCCCTCATCTGGAAAGAAGCTTATCCAAACTTTCAATCCAGCTTTTGCGTACCTGTCATTCTTAACATATAAAACTTTTTCAGAGAGCCCTTTGCCTTTCCCTACTACCGGTCTTCCAGTCATTCATAATTTTGGTGGAAACAGCTTCACCGGTGGAATCCCTTTACTTCCAATGGTCCATGAAAGCTTAGGAAAGCGCATTGACTATGCATTTCTTGCTGGTGGAAACAAGCTTACTGGATCATTGAATGGGAGCTTATTTGGAAACTGTGATGGATTAGGTGGAATGACAGTTAATGTAAGCAGCAATGAGATCTCTGGTCAAGTTCCTGCTTACATTTGTTCAGAATGCAGGTCTCTCAAATCTTTTGATGTGTCCAGAAACAATATCTCTGGGTCCTTTCCCAAGCACCTTGGTCATTGTAATTCCCTCATTGTACTTGACTTGAGCCGGAACAAGTTGCACGGTCACATTCCGGCTGATCTCTTTGACATGAGGAATCTCACTTTTCTAAGCTTGGCTAATAACCAGCTAAGAGGCAGCATCCCTCCTTTCTTTTCTCAGATGCATTCTCTTGAAGTTTTGGACCTCTCATCAAACTCATTCTCTGGTGACATTCCTGAAGGTATCACGCGCCTGGTAAATTTAACTGTTCTGTTGCTCAACAATAATACATTGACTGGAGAGATTCCCTCAGGTTTGGAAAATATGACATCTCTTCATGCATGCAACTTCTCATTCAATAATTTATCTGGAGTGTTGCCATCGGATGAGTTGATAAAGCCGTGTAGCTTCAATGGAAACCCTTTTCTTTTATCCAGGCCAAAACTTGCCGTTTTTTCAGCACCGCCAATGGGTAAACAACCCGATGCTCCTCCACCAAGGCCTGAGTCTAAAAATGCTAAGAGAGGTCTTTCTTCCATCGAATTTGCTGCTGCAGTATCTGCAACTGTCATTGTTTCCGTTCTTGCTATCCTTGTTGCCTTCTGTATGCACATAGCAAAGCGGACAGCATGTCCTAAAGTTGAGGCCTCTGAATCACCTGAAAGAAACGATGTTACAGTTTTCAATGACATAGGAGTACGTTTGACATATGATAACATCGTCCACGCTACCAGAAACTTTAGCTGGAGCAACTGCATTGGGAATGGTGGTTTTGGTTCCACATACAAAGCTGAAGTTTCCTCTGGTCTTATAGTGGCAGTAAAGAGGCTATTGGTCGAAAGATGTCAAGGAGTTCGCCAGTTCGAGGCTGAGATTAATAGCCTTAAAAGCATAAGTCATCCCAATCTCATAACACTGATTGGCTATTTTGCAAGTGAGGCAGATATGTTCCTGATATATAATTATATCCCAGGAGGTAGTTTAGAGAAATTTATACGGGATAGAGCCAGTAGAGTGTTTGATTTTAAAGTGCTACACAAGATTGCTCTAGACATTTCCCTTGGAATTGCTTATCTACATGATCAATGTGTCCCGCGCATTGTCCACCGTGATGTTAAGCCAAGTAATATATTGTTGGACAATGAGATGAACGCTTGTTTATCGGATTTTGGGTTGTCAAGGATCATGGGACCAGAAACCTGCACAACCACAAATGTAGCAGGAACTTTCGGGTATGTAGCACCAGAATATGCTCTAACGTGTCGTGTATCAGACAAGGCCGATGTTTACAGCTATGGTGTCGTGCTGCTCGAGTTGCTCTCTGACAAGCGAGCTCTAGATCCTTCGTTCTCTGTGCATGAGAACGGATTCAACATTGTTTCATGGGCAAACATGTTACTGCGCGATAACAAGATACAGGACATATTCTACACCAGTTTATGGGAGGCAGGACCGGAGGACAAACTTGTGGACATGTTGCATTTGGCTCTAATGTGTACTACAGAATCCCTTTCTGCCAGGCCAAGAATGAGGCAGGTCGTCGGGCAATTGAAGGAACTTGCACCTCTTGTGCCTTCTAGCTAAGCAGTGGAGAATCTGGCTTCATCCATCAAATAATTAGTGAAATTAGTAACTTAAGACTATTTAGTTTTAATTTGCTTTATAGTTAGTTTTAACTACAGTTTGGCTCACTGGAAAGGTGTAGCAATTTTCCCCTGTAACTGTATATTATGATGGATGAATGATTATGTTATACTAGTTTACATATCAATACCATGATCTGAGGGGTCACCATATTTCTTGTGTCAAGTCATTGAACGCCACAATATTTTGGCAGATTTGAAATTAAAGCAGAAACAATGGAGCTTTAAAGTGTTCTAAAAGGAAACATTCAATAAACTAAACTAGCCAAAATCAGCAAGTCATAACAAGTATCTTATATATACTAACTAATGACTTATTATAATTAAAGATGTTCCTCACTGTGCTGGAGAATTAATGTGTTCGCTAAAACAGACAATGGTTTTAGTCCATGTACAAATACTGTTTCATTACACTGGACTTTAAGTTTAAGGGGAAAAAATTGAATTAAGTGAAAATATAAAGTATTAGCGCTAAAATTTGACAAAATCCTATGAAGGAATCGTACAGCCCAGTGGTGGAGCTAGGTGGGCGGAAGGAGATTAGTCAAACCTCATGCGCCGGAAAATTACACTGTATATATAACGTTAATTTTTCTTATGTTGAATTTTTTTTAGCTTCTTTATGTGTTTACTTTTTAAATTTTTTGAATTTTCTAGGTGAAAATCCTGCTTCGGTCATAACATATAGCTGATTCTAATTACTTTGGAACTACGGCTTAGTTGATTGCAAAGTCCCTTAATTCCTTTCTTGTTTTAAATGAACATAGATTCTAGGTTCAATCCCCAGAGGCCTGTGGAGTCATTTTAATATAATCTTTTCCTCTCTTTTTTTTCTACCCTAGCTCTCCCAATATTTTATTTCTTGTATTGTTTTTATTCTTCTTCTTCTATTTTTGAGTGTTTTCTTCGTTTTCTTTTCCATGTTTTCCCTCTACCGCCAAAAATTCTTGTTAAACTAACTAACTAACTAACTATACCAGCTATGCATGAAATTTCTCTTCGATTACCAAATTAATCACTACGATGACGGGCTATTTCGTAAAAATCCCGGGGAATTTGCTTGTCAACGAAATTCCACTCATAATATAGCCAGTTTTCGGACTGGTCAATCAAAAATAGCCAGCGTTTACCAAGTCAATGAAAAATAGCCACTATTTTGCTGCAATAGAGACCGGTCCAGCATAATATACTGAAGTTCGGTGTACTTGTGTATGAACTCCAGCATATTATGCTGGACCGGTATACTTTGCTGGCTCCAGTATAATATACTGGAGACTGGAGCATCGGTGCTCCAAACTCCAGTATATTATACTGGACCAATATACTTGCTGGAACTCCAGTATATTATGCTGGAGTTCTAGTGTACTTATGCTGGAACTCCATCATATTATGCTGGAGTTCCAGCATACTTATTCTGGAACTCCAGTATAATATGCTGGAGTTCAAGTATACTTATGCTGGAACTCCAGCATAATATACTGGAGTATTTTTCGGGTTTTGAACAGTGTTTTCGCTCAGATTTATCTTTATATAAAAAGTGGCTAAATTTCGATTACTTTTGAAATTGGCTATTTTTGAACAACCAGTTGTAAATCTGGCTATTTTTAAAATTTACCCGCTATTTCACGTATAGGAACTAACTTGCCGGCCACTATAACAAGAGAGATATAAAGTTATATTTTATCACATTAACCGTCACTAAACTTTACCGTAATAATAAAATTATAGAACTATTTTTTATCACATTAAAGTAACTAAATTTTATCTAATATAACAATAAAATTATAAAACTTTACCAACATATAAAACAATAATGTCACCTTGATGAATAGGCTCCTCCATAGCGGGTGATAAATTACCGTGGATAAAAATTAATTATTTTAATGTGATAAAAATAAATGTTCTGACTTTATGTATTGTTATTATAATGAAAATAGTTCAATCACGATAAGAAGACAATTTTATTGGTGTCACACTTTAATGCAATGAAAATAGAAAAAGCTGTGAGAAGTTGCTTTCTCCAGTCTGTATATATATATATATATA